CTCACCCTCTCTCTCTCCCTCTCTCTCTTTCTCTCTCTCTTTCTCTCTCTCTCTCTATTTCTCTCTCTCTCGCTCTCTCTCTTTCTCTCTCTCTCTCTCTATCTTTCTTTCACTCTCTCTCTCTCAAAGAAAAATCACTTACCATAGAACTCATTTCTGATCCTGACTCTATCATCAACCTTGTCCGTGTAGATGATGAGACAGTTGATGAACTCGAGCAGGTTGGTCCGGTAAGGGAAGTTATCACTGCCTCGTATCTCGTCCAGGATACACGAGAACCTGTATTTCTTCTTCTTCGTCCCCTGGAAGAAAAAAAGAAGAAAAAAAAACAAACATAAGGACACAATAAGAGATTAAGCAACGAGCTTTTAACAGAGATTTATTTCGCATACAGCACTCAGCATTACCTCTTTGATGTGTATTCCTCTAAGCCCATATTCACACGGACTCTGATTAGTCATCTCTCATGCATAAAAATTGACAAAAGATTTTCCAAACAGGTTAATGACGCTATGAAGCTTTGTGAATCTGGAAAATCTCCCCCTGTTTTTTGTTGAATATTTTTTTTTCTTTTCTAAGTAGACGAAGAGGCGACTGGAGACAGGACGGGAGGGGAGGGGGAAGGGGAGGGTGGTATGTTGTATTGTATGCTTTCTTAGCTCTGTAACAATAATCGGCTTGTACACACAGTGTCCTTGCCTACCCTAGTGAATAAGGCGAAGCTCGTCGGCCGGACCCCCATTCTTCCCATGTAGCTAGCGGCTTACTTAGACGTTAAGGCCTTATGTAGTCGAACATAGGTCCTGTTGTCATCTGGTATTGTCCCACGTCCAGAAAAGCCCGCGATTAAAACTGAAAATTACCTCTTCACCAGGGTGTCGACAAGTGTTTTCTTTTGAAGACATGAGAATTTAGTCCTGGGCGTAGAGAATAGTTTAAACCACGTCCGACCAGGATTAGGAGGATAAAGGAAATTACATCCTGAATATCCACTTGGGTATGTATCTAAACATCTTGCCAGATTTAGTCATTTACCACGCAGGAGTCCTCCACCAGGACACAAAAGAGAACGAACATAAATAATGATCCTTTCTGAGGACCATAATAAGATGACAAATAGGGCTGTTTTCTTCATTCAAAAGTTATCGCAAGGTCGAAGTGAATACTTATGAGTAGACTTTGGGGGTCATGTTTTCCAAATTATTTTGTTTGTTTGTTTGTTGTTTGTTTGATTGTTTGTCTGCTTTTTGTTTGTCGTTCGTTTTGTTTTGTTTCTTGCTGTTGTTGGCATTCTTCAGGGGG